AGGGCACCTGACTAATGTGTAGCAACAATTATTTTCTTATAAAATCATGTTGATGTCTATTAACATCTATTGACAGTATTTTAACATTTTAAGTACATCACTCATATCTAGGTGAAAATTCTATATACTTGTCGGCAATGATTTATCCGATTAAGAATAATTTTATTGAACATTTAAAACATTAAAGAAACAATACAATGATAAACTATATTAAAACATTAAAAATATATATATATATAATAATATACTAAAATAATTTATTGTATTACTTGTTGTCAAAATTAGTTTGTTTTTTCTTTACATTTAAAGAATATTAATAACAAGCAATCTATTGATGTTGAAATGATTTATAAGAAAATAAAACGCAATTTACGCTCATTCATAAAAATCAATTATAAGTATAATAATAGAAGTGCGGGATTAATTAGCAAAAGGAGAATAGAAATTTTCGAGGTTTTTGCTACTGCTTGGGGATCATTTTATTTCTCTGTTTTCTTATGTACTTTTTTTCTAGAAATAATTATTATAATAACGTTAGACTTAAGGAAACATTGGTACATCAAAATAAAATAAATAAAAGTCCTTATTCGCGTCGTTATAAAATTATACTGTCAGTTCTATGTCAATAATTTATTTACGAAATTATAATTCCAAATTATGGTCACGCCGTATGACGAATTATGAACGGAACATTTATGTAAGCAATATGTGAATAACTATTCAAAAAAGTACTTTTTCAAAAAACACTAGTTAAAAAAGATAACAAGTTCACGCGTCAAATATGAAAAATAGTATACAGCTAGATACCTCGCGTACAATAAGTTTAGTAATTAGCCGGAAACTAAGGACGAAATGACACTTACGATAAATGATGTAAGCAAGATATCTCTCTTCGAGAGACTCGCTGTGGGCTCTTTTTGCTCGTGAAGCATTTCCTCACCACGTTATGCTCCGTCTCGACGTTGAGTCCGATAAATAAGATTTCAAGAAACGTCATCGAGCTGATAAGTAGGAAAAGTGGCCGCTGATCAAAAGACTAGCTCGTATCGCGCGCCAGATCTTTCGGCAGAAAAAGTATTCGCACGATCATTGATGAGATTATAACAAAACAATAATTTTATTAATTATCACTATCGGCTGAATATTTTGGATTATGTATGTCTGCCAAAACTTGTACCGTTCATGATGGAATGACATAAGACGAGAATGATGCAAGCCCACGAGAAAGCACGTGCTTTGCTACTACTCCATGTATGTACATTATTATATAAATAGGTATATGTGAAGCTCGTCGTCTGCTTCGCGGAATCGAATTTAACCTAACCTAATCTTTCCAACAATTCGCGGGAAAATTGAGGTTAACTTCTAAAAGCAGGAGTTCCATGGTGTAATCAGAGAGAAGTCTGAAAACAATCATCTGACTTAAGTAATCCCGGACTGCGATTCATTTTTAACGCTGATAATGCTTCATTGACCAATCGGAAGAATTTTACGAATTGACCAATTAAAGAATGTCTCAAAGTATACAACGTGAAGCGAATCGCACCATTCGCACCCTCGACTTTTTTCTTGTAAAGGTAGATTTTCACGAGCCGCTCAAAGCGGCCGTTTCAGCGACAAAAAGGATAACGTGGTCAAAATTGACGAATATCATTGACAAGCATCAATTTGGATCACGTGATCCTTTTTGTCGTTGAACGGCCAGTTTGAGCAGCTCGTGAAAATCTACCTTAACGCTCCCTAACCCATACACTAGCGGCACCAACGTTTATTTTCGAGCTGCGGGAACAACGTATGTATGTTACCACATCTATTATCGTGACACGTTGATAAAATCGTATCAAAAGTATATGTGGTTTGTGTCTGTAATTCTCTTTTACTTCACTCAAGCTAGCACTAAGCGACCGAAAAATATTTTCTCGACTATAGCTGCGCGGCGTGTATTAAAGGCATGTGGATAGGGATGATATTCTAAATCTAGATAATACAAAACTTTTAATAAATTGTATATTAATCATATACGCTTCCCATATTGATCCAAAATAGTTAAATCATGTCAAAATACGTTAATTGTTCACGATTTTTTACATGAATTATATACCACGTTCAGAGATTATTTGAACTGCAAGAATTAAATTGCAATGACGTCAGTTGACGTAGTCGAACGTTAGAATGGTATAGAGATCTTGTGTCCGAATTTTGTTTTTATTTCTTTTTTTTTTTTTAAGTTTTTTTTCACACATTTTATCAACGTGTTACAAAAAGTGGACGTATAGTTATGTCTACTAATTGTAGATAAAGACACGCATAATATGTAATTTAATATGTATATGTATACGGTGTCCCAGAATAACTGCCAAATATTTCGTGCTGATAGAGCACTTATTTTATTGTAACTGATAATCAAGTAAAACGACTTTGTTTATTTACAGTTTACGAATTCTAATTTATATTTTTTTTCGAAAATGATTTTTTCTATCGAAAATTTTAAAGAGAGCTTTTTTTTAACGGATTTGTCACACATTTATTAAAAAAATTTTTAACTAAAAAAATCAACGATGTATCAGTGTTTTTTCGTAAAAAGGAAGTCTTGCATATCTTTACGAGTTCATCCCTGAATGAATAAAAAGATAGTATAGACATATATATATGATGCATCAACCATATTAATTGTAGCATGATGTCATTTGTTTCCGCTATGTAATACATAGAGTTCCTTGAAGAGAGTCACGTCAATTTTGTCAATCAAAATTTTCATTGATTTTGAAGTAAAATAGCGTAATATCAATTATCAATATTGTTATATACGTATCTCCACTTTGAGTATTGTGAACACGGTGATTTAGATTTTAAAAATAATTGGAAGAATAAATTACAAGATATTGACGTACATATAAGTAAAATTTATATTAAGTTATTAAATATTATCTATAACTGAATTAGTTTTACTATACATTTTTGGAATTTAAAGTGAAATAGGTATATGTTAAAATTATATGATTAATAACAATGTATAGAATACTTTTCAACGCTCTCCTACCATATATAATATCTGTATCTTTTATTTATTTTTAATTTAATATCTTTATAATAATGTATAGATGACTTAATCTATTTATAATTTTTGTAAATCTAAAATTATTTTATTAAAAATAAAAAAAAATTAAAATAAAAGAATTTATTAAAAATAAAATAATTTATCACTTCGATCTGCGTAGGATCTGCGACAATGTTACGTCATTTTACTTTGTCATGACTATATAACTTTTAGGAACTCTCTAGTAATGCATCAATTTTGGAGACATTTTTTATGCATATAATATATAAGGGAGTTAATGGTGTATGGTATAGAAGTCTACAGATAATCCTCGCTCCGCATGTAAAATATATGCGTATTGCCTCCCTCCTGCGGGGGGGGGGCATATATATTGTCAACATGTATATATATACTTTACAACGTAAAGTAAGAGAGGGTATAGTGTGAAGTAGTTCGATCTTAATATTGTATATAGCAGAAATATGACGTTATTTTTTAAACTTTTTGTTAATAACTGTTTAACAAATAACAAGCGACGACTAAAAAATAATAGCTAGTATTTTTATATGACGACTAACTTTTTTTGAACGATCAATAATTTTGAAGATATCAATAAAAAAAAATGTTTTTTTCATATAATTTTTAAGATGGCGGTCTAAATGACTGACTGTAATCTAAAAATTCTTTCAAATTTGTTTTCAACAATAAAAAATGTAAAAAAAACCTAATTTAAAAAAATCGTGAGGGCGTAACTAGTCGATGGGTTAATTTCAATTTGATGTACTTTTCATCATTTTATTCAACTAATATACAATTTCTTTATTAGAATCTTTATTATTAGAAATTTTCGACAATAATCATATAATATATATTTGTTCATCGTAAGCAGATAAAATAAAAGTTTTGATTTTGTTTCATACATTGACACTTCAGAATTTGGAAAGTCGCGATAATCGTTTATATATATATATATGCGCACAGATATATTTAATTCAAATCCCGTGTGATTTCCTCTTCTTCTTCTCGAAGTTTCACATACAAATGGTACGTCGTTTCAAATTTGGAAAACGCAAAATGATAATAAAAGTAATTGCGCTAAGTGGATTGCGTTATCTAGCTCTTCGTCACTTGGAGCGACGCGGTGCCCTTTCAAAAGGCGTTAAACATATCGCGTCGTCGGTGAACACGCAGACCCCGCAGACTCTCGCGAGTCGCGACGACGCGAGCGCGACGCACAGCGTGGCCAACCTCTCCGACCTGAGAACGCGCAGTCGCGCGCGAATCCTGTCGGGTGGGAGAGGTGATCAGCTGCGTGTACACGAGGAGGAACGAAATGTTCATTCTGCAGAGGTGTATATCGTGAGTACCAGAGGAACATTTTTTTCTCACTCTCGACCTTCGAGAGCGTTGACGCTTCGGGCTGTCGGAGGGTCTACGGCCCGTCGACATCACGGGGTGCACGACGAGCACTCGGTGGACAATACGATACAATGCGAAAGGGGCGGATGCGCTGATCCTTCGTTAGGTCACAGAGAGGATGACGTTCGCGCGAACAAAACGAACCGTGTCATGTAACCTGACACGCGGCCGACAAATTGCAACGCGGTGGCTGAAAATAGGAACGCCCCGACACAAGCAGTGATCGATACCAGGTGAAGCCAGACTTGCCGTGGCATAGCAGAACTGTTTACCGTGCCTTTCGTCAGGTGTTCCCGCCACTGGCGACGATTCGTTCTCTCGTCTTTTTTTCGCCTATCCCTGGCCTTCACCTGGCCTAGCTCGACTCTCTGTGGCCTTGATCGTCGGAATACGAGTCTTTTTTTCTTTTGTGCAACGCTCGTCGTTTGCCGATTCAAGGTTTCGCGGTGCTCGTCGTCCTTCGAAAAGTATAGCCTCTCATAAACAGAAATTCACTGTATGTAAGCGTAAATCCATATCTTGAGAATTTTGTATCTTGAGTTATCATGAAATATTGATACGATTAATTCAACATTGGTGTCAAAATCATAGTCTATAGTTGCCACTTTTGGATCAGTATTCTGCTGGAGTTCTGCTGGATCGTTCTGCCGGAGATTGATTATCAGTATCGTTTATTTAAACGGTTAAATTTACTTTTTCTGTAGTGTGTTTTTTCTTACTTAAAAAAAGTTATCAGGTTTGGCGCTCCTGTCAAAAATTTTTTCAGTATTGGAAGATAAGTCAAAATTAGCCGGAAAGTTTTTCCATCTACTAGAGAATCGAAAAGGTAAAAATTGTGGTTAGAAACTTCAAGTAAAGAAAATTTACTAACAAATGTTGATTTGTTTTAAAGTATTTTCTCGGATTTCGTCAAATGAATCGAATCAATTAATTAGCTTTAGCTGCAAGATAAAATTTGACGTGTTATACAAATGACTTATCACAATTCTCTTGACATTGTCTCGTTAGTTCTCAATAGTTTTTTAAATGTTCTTAGCCATTATTGTTAATAATAAAAAAAATGTGTTAATATTTGGAACAAGTTTTCATTTATAACATTCCACATTTTCAGCATTTTCTGAATTAAATTGAGAGTAAAGTAGCGTTATTTCACATAATAATTATTTTGTCGTTTCTGTTGCGAAATAAAAGTTGACGGAAGTGAATGAATCATGAATGATCTCATGACTGAAAGTCAAGGTAAGAACGGTAACCGTTCGAAACTGTGGCGCCAGGGACGTTCAATTCGATTGATAGATTCGGGCGCAAATGGTAAAAAAAAAAAAAAAGAATACACATAGAGATATCTAATGATAATTTTTCTTCTAGGATATCACAATCACGTGCAATGAATTAAAAAAATATCTCATTTTTAATAGTAATGTGAAAAAAATTCATTTTTATAATTTCGAAAAACTAAAACGATTTAGTAAACTACATTCCTCAGAAAGTTAAGGATCACTTTTTCTCAGTAACTTTTTGTCCATTTTTTTAACCATTAAAAAATGATTACTCGGCGAATAATTAATGTAAACAAAATATTAGAAAAGGATTTTATAGGGAAAACTCTCCACTATAAGGTGCTTTGTTCAATTTTTAAATTCACAATCAGTTTAATATTTATGAGCCGTTGTCAAAGCTAACTTTGAAAACCTGTTTGTGATATCTAAAATCTTGACATTTGTAATTTTCACCGACTAAGAAAAAAATTAACGAACATAATCATTGATGCCATTTTTAAATATAAATTT